ATTCAGGTGATAGGAGATGACAAAGTTCTAAAAAAGAAAAATATAATATGGATAATGAACATTGTAAGTCTACTTGAAAGCAAGAACAATAGAATAGAATTAGTTAAGGTTAAAAATCACAGCAATGACAAGTGGAATGACAGAGCAGATTTGCTTGCAAAGAAAGGAGCAATGTATGAAAGGACAATATTTACAGAGAAAATTAAGTGTAACAAAATAGAGTACCACTTAGAATTGAAAAACAGAAAAGTGGATATACCAACAAGACTTCTTTGTAAAATAGTCATGAATGCTAAAATCGGAGTGAGCTGGAAAGAAACAAACCCAATTCGAGCACTGTAGCCAGAAACTGAGAACTCTTGATACGACTGGCCAAGCTTTTGAAAAAAAATAAATAGAACAAAAGGTGTATATTGCATAATGAGAAAACTTAGTACAAGAAGAGCTACAGTGATTAAATGCATAATAGACAGCCTACCAATGCTAGAAGAACTAAATAGAAGAAGACCAGAAATTTATACAACAACCAACTGCCAAGTATGCCAAAAAGGTGAAAAGGAGACCCAAGCACATCTAGCAAGCTGCATTGGACAAAAAAGCTTGTGGAAGAGAATTCAAAAAGTAGCAACAGCAACAGCATGAAACAGTCTTAAAGAAAATGAAAGAGTTAGAATTTCACCTCTTGTGCTATATAAAGTATTATTTAGAAAAACAGAAGCAGAGAAAATTACTAATAGAGCAACCTTAGTAAAAGGGTTAATAACAAATGAGGTTGGAAAAAGGATTAGTCAAATTTTAAACAGACAGGCAACACAAAAATGCATAGATATAATAGCAAGAACAGTATGGAATACATTTTACGACCAAGTATGGAGAATCCATTATGAAAAAGTACAAGAATAGGAAAAGAAGGTTAATATAACAAGCAAAATGAAAAAAGATGCTCGAATCAGAAGAAGATCAGAAAAAAGAACAAAGAAAAATAAGATAACAAAAGAAGAAGAAAAGAAGAGAAAATTGGAAAGAATGAATCAAATGAAGAAAGAAGCTTGGAAGACAATTGATATGCTTGTCATAGAGGGGGAAAAACCCTTCTGGTATGGTTTTAAGTAGTTAGACGAGCAGTCTATCTCTAACTGAGATAATGCGACAGGTTGCACTTAGGTACCAATAGGGTGGCCGAGTGATGCTAGACTTAAGTATTAGAAAATTCTATATAATTATAAATATAAATAGTTTCAAGAATCTTAATAAAGTACTAACGTAACTGCTTAAGGTTAAAAAAAAAAAAAAATGTTAAGTATAGCAATTGGTAGGGAACCTTTGGGTGAACTCCTTAAATAAGTAATATAGAAAAGTTACACATGTAGCCAATTGTATGCTCTCCTGTAGTGGTTCATTGAACCACAATACCAATAAATGATTAATAAAAGTCAAAAGACCAAAGAGGTCACCTTAAAAAAAAAAAAAAAAAAAAAAAATTTTGCTAATATATAAAAAAACATATAACCAACCAGATTACTAAATTTATTGAAATAAAAGAATATAGAAATATACTATATTAGATTATCTAAATTGGTAGTCTGATTAAAATTTGTCAGTTCTAAATAGTGATTAGTAAAAGATAATAAAGAAAATTTTAAAAAAATAAGTATTAGAATTTTAATAAACTTTACAAAAATAAAAATAATGTAATATAATAATTAAACAGATAACTAGAATTGCAAGTATTAAATAACTATAATATATTACATAAAACTATATCAACTATGTGTGAACATGACTGATTCTAATAAGTCTTCTGACAAAAATAAAATAATTTTAAGAATACTAATAAGGATCAAAAACTTGAACAGAACTATGATATAAGTTAAATTATATATGCAAAAAAATCTAAATAAACAAGACCCTTAGTTGGCTTGCAAGTATAACATCTAGTATAGAACTTATGATGTATAAACAAACTACTTAAATTAGGCATCAAAAGTGCACGTATGACTAGCTATAACCTTCTATGTAAGAGAACTCTTAGAAACACCCGTGTCCTATAAACTTGAATAAAAATCACTTCACAAAAGCAGACTTCAATACAAAAAAAAAATTATAAGAATTTAAACTGTATAAAAAGTGAAAAATTTTTTTATTAAATCGGTTAAGCCACAGAAGATTATCGGCTTGCCACTCTGCTAAGATCACTCGTAGCATTGGGATTTCGTAATTTTAATATAAAGTTTAAGCCACATAAAATCTCAAAATCTGATTGGTTGGCCCATTGCCTTTTGCTGCGGGCCCATAATAACTAGAAAAAAATATCGCGACATTTGACATGAGATTACGTAATAATTTGTACAAAATCTTCACACGTATAATATCAACGAAAAAATTTTCTACGTAAATTATGATCTGTCTAAAATAGGAGCGAGTCTATTATTCGTATTCGGCTAAATTATTTATTAGCTTTAAATCTCAAAAAAAATTTTTTCTTTAATGATATAAGTATCGTAACATATAAAGCATGATAACGTTCAAGGTTCTAGTTTATCAAATAAATATAGCAACGTATCTTGTATTACGTATAAAGTTAATCGCTTCTGGTAACGATTTTCTAAAGTCGACCAGTGATTATTATTACGTCTTTAGATTAAGAGAATCAAAATTTTTTATTTAATGTATGAGTCTAAATAATCTATGCCTGATAATCATGTGTTTGGGTCGGGACCTTTTACATGCGAAGTTACGTGCCCGATTTTTGATTATATTATCGTTATATGGAGGTTCGATTTTATTTACGATAATTAAAATATATTTTTAAAAATCAGCGAAATTATATTTAGAAATTATGAGCGAGTTTATAAGTAGATGATTTACGTGGTTTTATATCGATATGGATCTTTGCTTGGAAAATCACCCACTGAGGCATTATCGATATTGCACAGATTTCAAGACAATTATAAATCTATTTTTAGAAAAAAAAATCTCATATATGTAACTATTTAATATCGGCAATAAACTTGTCGATTCGGCCGATATGTAATAAATAAGCATTGTAGTAATTGTCCTAGAATTTGAGAACAGCTGTGAATGATTTATTTATCGTTATGCGTATATTCTCGGTACATGCCGATACAGAATTAATTTGGAGCTGATTTAACAAAACCTAGATCTTAGATAAATTTGTTAGTAAAATAATCGTGAAATTTGTTAGTGGATAATAGGTAGTGACAATAGAGATGATATATTCAATTAACTTTTTAGAGCCAATTTTATATATAATTTTCATAGAAGTAGATGGCAAAATGGAAAGGGCACATGATGAATTACCTAATAATTATTAATGGCATTCATATTACATAATGATAACGCATCGCCTTACTGTTACATTTAATCACATTTACTAATCACAAATTTTTCGCATCAGTACGTATTAAATTATTTACCTTGGAAATTTATCATATTCATAGACGATAAAATAAATCTAACATTTGAAATTCTTGAAAAATTTGACTACTAATATGTGATACCGATCTTTGACTGCTAATCAATATCCCCAAGTAAAGGTGCATCATTATATATAAGATTCTATTTTTATTGAGGTGCGCCAAAATGGGCTAGATAGTAGAAAGATAGAATAGACACGTTATCAGTATAGAACAGAGGTCCAAAAAATTTTTTCAGGACCAAATAATTGGGAGAATTTGATAAATCAAGGATGTAATTATTAGAAAACTAGAAAATTGTGTATTTGGTGTACAAATCGTTTTCTTTTTCGACTGTACAATGAAATTCTTCAATGTCCATAAAAACTTGCGTACTAAAAAAAGTAAAACCGTGTACAGAAAAAGTTCATAAGTCACCATCATTTAATCCGACGGTAATTCATATTTTCATCAGTGCAGTTTCCGCCTTGTGAACCATCATCCTCTTTAGAGACTTGATCCGACGAATATCCGAATATCTAAATATATATCATTTCATCATATCGATATTGAATATTCAGATGAATATTTTACGTTTAAAATTAATTATACACAGCCAATCAAAGTAGCGTTTCAAAATTTTTTATTGCATTAGCGTTAGTCAACTTAGTCGGCTTAGCTGGCTACATTAGCCAATTCTTAAAAATTCGGCTTAGTAAACTATGTAAATGTATAAATGCAATATAAAAAATAAGAATAAAATGTTTAGATTGTTGCATTCTGTAATATGCTTTATGTATCACTGACCAATCAGAATGTACGCACATAGATAGAGATAGAGGGGACAGGTAAGACAAGCTTTAGTTTCTTTGTTGTGTATTTTGATTTATAGATCTTTTGTGTTAATTCAATTCGTCAGAACTGTCATTAATGTTGCTAGATGTTTTAGATGAGGCAAGCTTGTTTGCGGGAGAATCTGGTTTAATGCTTCTAAAATGTATTTGTGCACATCAATTTTGCATGCATTTTCCAATTTATATAAACACTCGTCTTTACTAAAATTATTTTCTTGGCCCTTTATTTAGGGGTCAGGTTAAAAAGTGGATGGGTCATATCGCCATCATTATGGCGTGATGGTTGGTTATCAATAGCAACATCTATCGTGTATCGTATCACCGCAATTCTAAACCAGCTTCACTTTAAGAAAGTTACGTAACGACTTTATCACTTTTATCTTTATTTTTTTACTTTGGAAATTTTATGCAACGACAGTTGTCGTTGTCTTTTCTTTTGGAAACATTATACAATGACATTTTATCTTTTTTTTATTTATGTAAATTAAAACAACATAAAATACTAGCGTAGCTATATATGTGCTATCAAACCAATCTTTAATTTAAAATAAAAAAATTAATACAAATCAGCACGTGAATTAAATGCTTATCAAATCATTGGATTCGAATTTTATCTGAATAATCATTCAATTTTTAACCAAACATCCGAATATTAAAAGGAAAAAAAAAATTGAAACAAATGAATATCCGGATTTTTATTTATATATATATATTTGACCATATTAGGCCTCTATTCTTCTTCAATTCCATATACACCAAAGTCTAAGACATCAAACCACGTTACAGAATTTCTTTGAACCGCAGCGACACATCTACGTTCATCGAATCTAACTTGCCTATTATATATATATTTCGTTAGATTATATCGTTAAAAGGTTAAAAATAAATAATATATAAAAATATATATATTACCAGACTCCACTTAAGCCAGTTAATAAGTCTCGTTGTTGGCGACCTGTCTTAACATCCCACATTCGAAGTGTTCCATCTGATCCTGATATAACCTTACTCTCATCATGTTGGAAACATGTAATGGCTCCAGAATGTGTAGTCAAAACATGTTTACAAGTTCCATCGTCAGGATTCCATATACGAAGGCTAGAATCAGCAGCAGCAGAAACAAGAAAGTCATGAGAAAGATCTAGAAGACCAACAAGAGATGAATGACCTGTAAAATTAAACCAATTGTTAAAATACGTTAAATTATAAATAAGTAGATATATACATTCATAGATCCTAATATATATTTTATATATATTTAAACATATATATTTTAATATATGGGGAGTGTCAGTAGAAACCAAGCAAATTGTTTCTAAGTAAATGTTTTTAAAAGTTTAAAGTAAAATATCTTAACAATTATTAAACCAAACTTGATTAAATTTTTTTATTTTAATTTTATATAGTTATAAATTAAAATAAAAAAAATTTACCAAATTTGGTTTAATAGTTGAGATATTTTTTAATTTAAAATTTAAAAAACTTACAAAAACAATTTGCTTGGTTTCTACTGACACCCCCATATATTTAACGTATATATTTTAATATATATTAGGATATATATTTTAATATATATTATAGATGTTAATTCATACCTTCTAAAGTCCAGACAATTGTTCCATCCTCTAAACTCCATACCTTTACTGTACCATCCATACTTCCACTCATGCACCTTTTTCGTTTTGCGTCTAATACAACAGAGTATACTTTTTGTGTATGTCCTATTAACCGCCAAAGGCATTCACCAGTCATAATGTTCCAAACTCTCACTGAACAGTCATAACTTCCGCTTACTAAAGTGTTTCCAACTCCTGCTAAAGCACGAACTGAATGTGAATGTCCTTGAAGTGTACGAACAAAATAAGGATTTTCTGGATATGGTGAATTATCTGATGGTGATGATGGAATTATAGGTTGATATTGAGGATCATTTTTTTCAAGGTCTGGAAGACGCCAAACTTTTAAGGTAGAGTCCCTTGATCCTGTAACTATCAAAGGATATGGTGGTTCGATAATTGGTGGCTCATTAGGATTGGTATTAACATTTTGTGGCATTATAATTTGAAGACATCGAACTGTACTCGTATGCCCTGGGAAAACATGTGTGCAAATGCCTTTTTCAAGGTCCCACACTCTTACTGTTCGGTCCGTTGATCCGGACACTAACGTTTTATCAACATATTGTAATGCCCAAACTCCTCCATCATGACCTTCAAGTCGATTAATTAATTTACCCGTTAAAGTTTCATAAACATTAATGCATTGATCATCAGACCCTGAAATTATCTTTTCTGAATCAAATTGAAGACATGTAACAACATTATTGCCATGACCTTGAAAAGATATATGTTTATGTCGACCATTAACCCAATTTTGTCTCATAAGATAATGACGACGGTAAATAGCTTTATATGGATGACTTGCAGATGGTGGAAGTGGTGGTTGTTCTTCTGAAGGTTCGATATTATCATTACTTTCTTGAGACATAGCATCAACATCACTATCATCCCCATCATAAGGATGATCATCATCATGATGTGTTTCTGTTTCAAGTCGAAAATCATTCCATTCATCATCGGCTCGAGCCTTTCCTTTATCTTGCCTTGTGACAAATTCTTTACCAAACAATGAACTAGTACCAACTGAAGAAGAAGATGGTGGTTCATCAGTTCCTGTTGGCGAAAGAGTGATAGAATCTTGTAATTCATTATTATTATTATCAACAATCAAACTATCTTTTTGATCTGAAATGTCAATATCAACTGAATCAACTGCCATATTATCATTACTAAGATTAGTCCTATAAACATCTAATCCAGATGATGAACCCTCCTTATCTTCATTAACTACTCTCATATGATCAGTTTCATCATCATCGATCTCTACAACAGTTCTCTCTTCAGAGGATGAAGTACCACTTTCATTGTTTGTACCATCCAATTGTCTATTTATACTATGAGTGGATTTTATCGGGCGTAAAAGTCCCCAATTTTCTGCAATAGCACGTGCTTCCTCATTAATATCTAAACCGAATCCATCTAATTTAAGACGACGTTGCCATGTTAAACCATCACCATCAATAACATTTCTCCATCTTTTACTAACTTGAGCTGCCTTACACATACTTCCAGCATCTAAATACCTCACTATATGTAGACTGAGTTCAAGAGGAAGTGTTCCAACAAAATCTTTCCTTAAGGCTGGTAAAATAATATTACTAACATATTGGAGTGTATTTGTTGGACAACGACGAAGAAGTTGGAATAACATATAAGATTTCATTGAAGCTGGTAAAGCATCAAATGTTGTAAGCATAGTGTTCAAATCCCATAAGCTAGGAGTATTAGATGTATCAGTAGCTGTGGTTTGTTGTAAACTCCAATTTTCATTGATACCGCCAGATAATGGTTCATCAACAGTGACATCATCATCATCCACATCGTCACGAACGGAATGTTCAGCGAAATAAGTTTCAAATTGATTAGTGTTACGTGAAGTTGAAACACCAGTAATAGGAGACAGTGAAGGAGATGGAAGAGCGGATGAATGAGTACTTCTCGTAGTTGAAGGAGTATCCATTCCAAGGTTTGAAGTTGATATAGTATTAAAAGGTCTAGAAGCAGTAGGAACCTGTTGAGTAATTATTGATGTTGATGATTCACCTTGTACAGTACTCAATGGAGTATTAGTTCTTGGTATTGTAATTCCTGAACTAATATTATTGTCCAGAAAATCTGTACTAAATTCCATCCATTGTCTCTGTGAGGCCAGCTCGTTTTCTTGTTCCAACATAGAGTTTACAGGTTTTGCACGGACCTTTTTATGAGGAGGAGATAAAGACCTACGTTCTCGTGATAGTTTAGTATAAGTATTTATACTATTTTGATGTTGAGCGTTAGCAGAGAAATCGATTACTGGTTCAATAGGAGAAGCCGGTCTTTTACGAGCACCACATCCAGAAGGTATAGAATCTATATAATTATCATTAAATGATTGCTGAGTCGAAGTAACACTTTTCTTGACCGTTCTCGTTGTTGGGGTAGAAGACGCGCGCATATTATACAAGGCTTCTTGAAGCTAAAGTATGTCCATAAGCACATGATAAAATCAACGTATCATAAAATTTAATACACGAACGTAATTTATTATAAGCAAATAACCAAAATTACTATAAATAATAGCACTCCACATTTAAATCACAAGTAAAAAAGTATTCTTGCGCGCGAGTATATATGCAAGTTTTTTTTATATGGCACTTTGAGATTCTGTAAAAATTCAAGTTAAACCCACCTTGATAATTTGTTGTTCCGAATCTTCGTCCTCTCTAATGTAGGCAGGTTGTCCGTTCAAATCGAAGCAAAAACGTTTAAGCGCTGGAGGAGTTGGAGTATCAGCCAAAGGATATTCTTTTGGATCTAGCTGTCTTGGTAAAGGTGGAGGCTTTAAGAGCAGGGGAGGAAAAGTTGTTGTGGTTGTGGTTGTTGTAGTGACGACTGTGGTTGTGGTTGTGGGAGCTAAAGAAATGGTAGCAACAGTGGGAAGTCTAGGAGAGGGTTCCTTCGAGGGCGACATCGGCGACGATTTTTTTGCTGAAGTGAATGGTATGTAGGCAGACATTGGTGTCGAAGGAGTTGGAGATTGGCAGCCACCTTCAGAAGCGAGACTGGTGTCAACTTTAAAAAAAGGAGGATTGCCGTTTTTCATTACTAATTACTAAGACTACACACAATGTATTTGGTGTAGTTGAGAAGTTTAATGAATGAACTTTTTTCTTGGATTGCAAATATCTTTTTACTTATGAGAGATGAAAGTTACTAACTACTTGACCCAACAAGTTATATTATAAAAGAATAAATATATATATAAATTGAAGAAAGGAGCAGGATTAAAAAACAAAACTCGAAATTAATATCGAAAAACCTACTATTATGACCCTGTTCAACCGAAATAATAAAAAAATAAAAGAAATATTTAAAATGATTTTAAAATTCAAAGATAATTTTTATTTTGGATGAATATGAATTTTTGTCTAAGAGAAGATGTATAAATTTGAGCAAAGAAAAAAAAAGAACCAAATTCTCGTTTATGTAGTTATTTTAAGAGGTTCTAACTGTAGGGGAGTCTAGAAAAAGAAGAAAAAAAAAAAAATAGAGGACAAATAACAAATTGTGTAATAGCGAGTAAGACAACTTGCTACTCGGCAAAATGTTATATCACCTATCACAATTAAATAAGTATTAAATAGCAACATAGATTATCACCTAAACTCAATTAAACTACATTATCTTTGTCATGTGACGGAACAATTTGTATACGTAGTGATAACGATAGTAATTCAAAATCCGAACAGCAAGGTTTTATTTATTACAAATACCGAGTTATCATTGTTTTCTGAAAACTAGCGAGATCCTCATCATTCGAATTTTATGACATATGTTTATATATTTATTCTAGAGATTCTTTTATATATGTAAAAAGAAAGCTAGGCATTCAAGTCTTAAGGTCCCACAAATATATCTTGTACAGATTTTTATCAAACCTTTTTTTTTTTGATCCTTAAATATTAGTGATCATTATATTTTACAGGTTTCGACTTTCACGCCCTTTTGACCGAACAGGTTAGCGTTAGCGCATAAACGACATTACATGTAAAAAAAAACGATCACATCGCCGCGTGGCGTAAGCAGTGCAGTAAAAATTGAACACCTATATCAATGATTTGCAACTTGTACAATGGTAATAACTTGATCGATCAAACAAAATTGATAGCGTTAGATGTATATTAAGTTTCTATTGTCATATTGACAGTTAAACCTCAACCTGTTCAAGTTACACGAACTTGGTTTCTTCTATATATACTTACAGAAGTTTGTTTACTGGTTAAAGTCCAGAACACGGGTAAAAATGCTTTCGAGTTGAAGTATGTCTCTCATGCGTGAGTAGGAGATTCTTTGGTCATTTGATATCCAGAGTTGAATAATTATCGTATGCGAATGCGGTATTTGATGGGGTCATCAACCAATTGGGAAAGTATTGCAGTGATTACTTACGTAGAATGCAATAACGATTTGTCCGATGTTTTTTACTATTATATAAAAACGCTATTAAAATGTATTCGGAACAACTACATAATCATAATAGAAAAACATGGTGGATAAACGACAAACACCAGTTTTGCGAACATGTTCTCATGCACTTATCAAGGGTAAATCAAATTAGATAAAATTAGGGAATTGATATTTCCACACCCATTTTTTGATATTGCCACATTGATTTTTATTAACAGAGGTGTGGCAATATCAAAAAAGGGTATGGAAATATCAATTTCCTAGAATTAGCTATAAAGTGGCTTTTTCGGGCTGCAGCCGCAGCAACAAAATTGTCCTGGCAGATTATCGATTTTGATTGGCTAAGAGCGACGATCAAAAAATTTGGCCGGAATTATCAAAATTTTACTAATGGAATCACAGCCGCCCATTACATTATTCCTGAGGCACCTCATGAAAAATTAACCGAATGGTTATTCTGCCGATTTGATAAATTATTGATTTCGGTATGATCAATGTAAGGTTTATCATTTACGTACGAAGGTGCTAATCGATTTGTAAATTAAACCTCACGTGAAACTACAAGGCTTCAAACGATCTCTAATTTCACTTCCTAACTAAAGTCAGGCTTGATAGACGTGATTTCTTACAAGTGGCGAAAGTCTTCCACCGCATCCAAATCTTTGAAATTAGGGGTTTCAAAGTTAACAAACGAGTGACGCATTTTGAAATTAAATAAGAGTTTGAAAAATCGTAATTGTATTTCAAAATTTTAAAATCAGAAAATGAAATGGGAGTGTCTAGAGATCCCATTTAACGAAATAAATAAACTTTTCAACGACAACAATCATCACTTCAAATTTATCAGGAAATGATACATCGCGTTATCTACAGTGGCAATCATAAATAATGGAGCAAAAAAAAAAAATGGCTCGATCGTATTATTTCGCGCAATTCGGGTTGAATTCTCGATTTTTTTTTTATATTAAATTCGCAAATAGTATCGTTTTCACTAATAAAATTAAAAAAAAAAAAAATGAACTGAATTTTTTATTGGAACGTGCTTTATCTAAATTGACATGCTGTATTATTTTTGCTCGTTTTTTACAGCAGCATCACTGCAATATACAAAAAAAAAAATTTGTATCAAAAATAAAAAAACCATTTTTTATTTTAATTGATTTTCACCTTTACCATTGGGTGTAACCACCCTGAGTTCTAATCACATCATGAATACATGTTGGCATTGATTTAATTAGGTTCATGCAGGTTTCAAGATCAATTTCTTACCAAACCTTCTGGATCTTTTCTCAAAGGTCTTGTTCACTTGAAATTTGATTAGGAAGGTTCTTAAGACATTGGTCTATCTCAATCCACAAGTGTTTGATAGGGTTGAGATCAGGTGATTGTGAAGGTCAATCAAAAAACTTAATCTTATTCCTTCTAAACTGACATTTGGTCAAAGTTATCATATGTGAAGTTGTGTCATCTTATTGAAAAATAATATTCTTAATATCAAAACCATAATTTTTCACAGTTCCTAAAAAAATCTTCATGAAGTATTTGTCAGTATAATCCAGCATTCATTGTATCATCGATTTTACAAAAGTCACCAATGTTACAAGAGATAAAACAAGCTCAAATCATAACTGAATCATTCTTATACTTTACTATAGATTTAATATAGAACTGATTTAATGTTTTTTCAGAATGTTTTCAATAGTACTGCTTTCTATCTGACTCAAAAATTTGAAACTTTGACTTGTTGGATCAAATTACCTTTGACCAGTTTTTGATAATCCAATTTTCATATTTTTTTGCAAATTGGTATCATTCTTTTTGATAAGATTTACTAATGAATAGTAGTCTCAAAAATTTTAAGGTTTTCATTTGCTTTCAAGTAATATTATATTTGTATGACATTAGAGTACTAACAGAAGATAACTAAATTTACAATTCTTTTTTTAGGTTAGTTAATTCACTTTTGATAAGTGATCAACTCTTTCAAAATATTCAAATATGTGGTGTTTTGATTATTTTTAACTTATTTCTAAGACTATAAAAAAAAAAACATTATAAGTCTGACCTATCTGTCTTATAGTATATTCTTTCTAAAGCAAAAGTAATATATAGGTTCTTTGACTGAAAGTCATATGTTTTTTTTTTTTTATTTAATTGTTATAAGTAAAAGCCTTCTTAATTTTTATACTATAATGACGACACGGTACAGAGAATCCCTTATGGGTATATGCGGTATCCAAGAAGGAAGTATAGCTTCTGTTAGACATTGTCAAGAAACTATACTCTTCTCTGAGGCAGTTTGAGAAAGGTAATGCAATACTAATAACTTTATTTTATTTTACTAAGAGGAGATAAACCTTGCCTGTAAGAATTACCCTAGAGGAGAAGTATCAATACAGTTTATAGTCAAAAGCCAT